TTCCCCAAAACAAATCATTTTCTGCAAATTTTCAGGCTTGATGAACTGGCAAAAACTGGTTTTGACAGGATAAAATGGCTCCATGCCATCACTTGTATATTCCTGACATTTGGAAATCAATTGGAAATAAATTCCAGAGATAAAAATCTGTGCTAATTTCAAAGCAGCCAGGAACAAACGCAGGCAATAGGAGAGTAAGAAATAAATGGCATCTGCAGCGTGGTTTGGGACTGCTCTTTTATTCTCTGGTATGTTATGACTCACAGAAAAAGATAATAGTTAAATCTGATTTTTTTGAAGAGGCTGATGAAACATTCAGATTTCAGACAGTGATATTCACTAGTGCAATTAGACAAGCTTCACAACTGAAATGTCTTCAGGATTAGCACGTCCATTTTCTTCATAACTTTGTTTAGTGCGTGAAAGGGAATATAGAGCACATAAAAAACTAAACAAAATATGTTTTACTTATGATCCATGAAAATGGGGATGCTCTGACATTTCACAAGCAGACAAAACATTGCACAGGGAGGAAAACAAATTGCTTTAGGTTCTCTCAATTTGCCATATTTCAAAGCTGACCTGCACATAGATCAGCACTAAATTTCAAAATGTCACTTACAGTGTACTGTAATACAACATGCAAAGTGAATACACAGCAATTCAGTGGTGTGACAAGGAAATAGGGTAAAACCCAACAATTTATGTACTAGGCAGAGGGTGGTAATGTACAGAACTACTGTAAAAAGGTAAAAAAACGAAGGCAACAATACAGTCAACACCCTAATAAGGTGTTTAAAATCTAAGTCTGATTACGACTTAATTTTTGCAAGCCTGTTAGTCATTTGTACTCCCATTTCAGTTTTAAAATACTAATACAGAATTATACATAGACCACAGCTACAGTCACAACCCCACAGCAGACGCCTTAAGACATTACCAGGGTGGGAAGACTTGCAGGTCTCGCTCCACCACAGCAAGAGGGTTGCCCAAAGCTCTTTGCCTCTTGTGGCCATCTGAGTCCCCTGCCTCTAGGCCAGCCCTGCCTGAGCTCCCTGTCTTCGCTCCCATCTGGCTGCCCAAAGCTTTTCCTACTCTTCAGCTCCATGCTGCGGTTCTTGCCTTAAGTCATCTGTCCCTAGCTTGTTGCCCAAATCCTTGTTGTGCCAGAGTCCCAGAAAGTTCGCTGCTACAGAGAAAACATTCATGTCCACGAAGAGCGCTGCACATGCTAACACGTTAGCAGTATTGCTAACTTCTCAAGAGCTAAACAAAGAAAGCATAGTCTCCCCCCTTCACAGGAGCTGTTACCTGTGACTTGTCCACTTCTTGGACGTAGCATTTGCATTGAGAAGACTCTTTAAAGCATCCTTCAGAGAGAAGTGAAGCTGCCTTTGATTCTAATGGATCACCGAGACTCTCTTCAGGGGAGAACAAGACCTTTGGCATACACAAAAAGGGCTATCTCATAAAAGGGATGGAAATAGGGTAAAATACACATTGTAAACATGTTTTATCCTAATACTTTTTTAGTATTAGGAGAATTTTAGTAATAGAAGAATTTCTAAAAAGTTCTCAATATACTTTTATTGACTTTTCCATAAGAAGCACGTTGGGAGGTACTGTCCTTTTAAATTTGTGTAAAGCGTATCGTAACTAGTTGGTATGATCTATACATTACAAGTTAACTTCAAAAGAACACATAGACTTTCGCCAGTGAAGTAATGGTGGAATTGAACTTGTTTTGGCTGTACTGTTACAATGTAACGATATCTGGTTTTATATATAACAGAAGTACCACTGCTGTAGGCTACTCAGTTATCATCCTTTGGCTTACTGGGAAGAAGTACAGTCACATCCTGGCACTGACCTTAATTCACCAGTAATTCAAGGCTCCAGATGGAAAACTGCAACTACGGAACGCTTGTCACTCATTTATTTCAGGCGATAGGAGGGTATCTCTTGAGATACAAGCAAAAATAATCTGCTGGAACTGTCCATGCTTGCTTGGAAGATTTTTCATTATCTGGGAACAGTTCACATTGCAATACCAGATGCTCAGATATTCCATCACACAAATTATAATTCCAGTGTTAAAATCTCTTCAACATAAATCTTTTGCAGTATTCTTTTTATTATCCTGCCAAAAATTAATCTTGTACTATGCTTTCAGGGTAGAAAAGACCCACATAAGTGCTAAGCACATTTGGGTATATTATTCTATGCCACTACAGTTGCATACATAGCTTATTCTTTCTGCAGTAGAATAAGCTTAACTGCCTGTAACAATTAAAGATAAAATCTATCATCAAATTTTCGCTAGCTAAAAAAACCCCTTTTAAAATAATAAAAAATAAAAATGTGGGATTTTTGTCTGGAAAGTAAATTTCCAGAAGATCACTCTTATGCTTTTTCTTTTATATTAAAAATGTACAGTGCTTTTTGCAGCATATTACAGACTTTAAAGGAAACTAGTTATAAAATGCTGACAGCCAAATCAAGAATTTAAACAACGGCATATCTCACAGTACAACTGTTTCTTTAAATGAAAAGAAAGACAGTCTATCTTTTCTTCTGATTAATATATTTTAACATATATGGCATTGGGTATGGCTCAAGTTTCTAGTTTCACACATTTTTATTAAGATACTAAGATGCTACGGCACTAAGAACGTTTTTTTTCTGAAGTCTACTTTCTTCCTTAATGAAAAAACTACATATGCAAGCCACAGGCTGGGATCCCAAATCATACACACTAACTCAGCTAAAGGTCTGTTTACAATTTTCAATACATGAGGCATATCATTGCTTTACCTTGTAACATCCTATTAGGAATAAAACTTTGATACGTATGGCAAGCACTTAGCAATAATTACATCTCTCGCTAAAGCAGCAGCAAGACAGCCCAGTATCACCAGGAGTGGATTTTACTCTTTCTGTATTAAGTGTTCTTTGCGGAACCCACAGAAATTTTTTACAACATTTTGATGGAAAAAGCTTCTCCAAAAGCTCCATCTTCAGCTTCCCTCATTTGCACCTATTGCAGGGACACGGGGAGAGTGCAGGTCAGTGAGTGCAAAATGGCTATTCAGGAGAACAGCCTCAAACAAGCATTCAGAAAGCGCATGCAAAAATTTGAGGCACCCCAGAAGGACTCTTCTATTGCTTGTGATGGCTCCATTCTCCCTTTCCTAACTTGGCCTTGGATAGTGCCCTGTACCTCCCCATGAATCACATAGAGACATATTTCCCCCGTCAGTAACGATGGCTTTACATTCAAAAAGAGACAGTTGGCCAAAACACTAAAGTTTAATGCTCACACAAAGCCTTCCTTGAAGAATCAGACCAAGATTCTTGGGCCTTATGTCCATGCTCAGCTAAATCATGCTTGGTACGGTAGGCAATTTGGGGAGGGAAAGCGGCAACACGCCACCTCTGTGCTCCCTCGCCTCCTGAGGCTCAGCCCGCCCCGTACATCAGGGGGCACTGGCTGACACAGCCTTCAGTGCTCACTCTTAGTCCTGTAAGGGCCTCGCAGGGGAACCCCCTAGCTAAGGTTTCCATTCCTAATTCACAAACTGCAGAAGTGGCAATACTCCTTTACAGATTGGATGGAGTCACTTCTGCTTACTTGTAATATTTACTTTGCATGCTGTACTTAATTATTCAGTGTGCACTCCCTTTAATTAACAGGACATATTTACTTTTCACTTATTTAAATAGAGTAAATATATAAAAAGACACTACATATTTGAAACTTCTCTGGAATTTAAGGCTACTGGATAAAAATAAATGGATACATTTGGTAATAACACAGTATATTAGATAGCATATTAGATATCCTACTATGCAAACTGGTAGTCTACCAGAGGGATTAGTATTTTATGGAAAGATTTAGGACTACACAAATTACTATTCTAGATCAGGCGACCGTATCGGCTCAGTCAAGGAAGATACCAGAAACCACGCATTAGGCAGTAACAAGACATGGGGTCAGTCTCCCACATAGATATATTAGTTTTAAGCATGGCATCTTTTTCATGTACCCCTGTGCCATGAGTCCCAGCATAGACGGTCCAGCTTAAGAAAATCCCATTCATAAATGACATTACTCCTAAAAGATGTATTACCTCCAGTAAGTTTTATTTCCTGCAAACGTGCTGATATGGCGCTGTCTATATTCTCAGTGGTACTCCCTGTTGGTGAGTTTCATCCCATTACGAGAAACGCTTTGTAAGCTTTCTTTCATTATGTGAAATTAATATAATTCTTCTTATAAACTCATCACTGGTGAAAGAGACATTAATCTATTTAGCTTATTGCTTAGCAGCAGGAGTTCTGGGTTTCAGTGAGGTAGGAAAAGTGAGGGAAATACTGTTCCTGACTTGATTTGGATCCATGATTTATATGCTCCCTCATGCTAGAAACATTACTTCTGTGACTGCTCTCACTATTTTATACTGCTACTCTTTTCTTTGTAATTTATGAATATAAAATCATTCTTTATATCTACTGATACTACAGTATATAAACCTTGAGTCAGTTGACAAGTTCCTAGACTTCAAATCTGTCCTGTGTGCTCTGCTCCAGCAGCACAAATGGGATGAATGGTTGCTGTAACATAAATTAGGGATTTTCCATTATAGAAGGTAGATATTAAATCAGGATAGGTTGCTTTCCAAATCTGTGCCCTGTCTTTGCTTTAAGTACAGAGACTTCACTGCACAATGGTGATTTTCAATCAGTGGAGCAGCCCACAGGTAAAAATGTCCCATCTTTTCTTTGATACGAAAATTCAATCGTTAAACTTCAGATTAAGACATCAACTACCAAGGTTTTCGCCATGATACCTATACCATAGCCATACAAGTCAGTAAAATAATGTAATATCATTTATTGCATTTACATGACTTAAAAATTCTCATAATACTGTGAAATACAATTGAAGTTCCTCTAAGAATTTTATTAAAAATTCTACATAATAGAGATCTGGAACTCACCATTTTAAGAACTGCCTTAATGAACATCTATTACTTTGGCACCTGAAGACTGCAGGTGGTAATGGAATAATGATTTTCAAGCTCGAAGAAGCTAGGATCTTTCCTAAACAAAAGAAGAAAATCAACATTACCACCAACCATAGAAGGGGACTGTCTGGCTGCCCTCAAAACAAGTTTTTGGGAGGGCCATGCATCCCCTTCCTCTGTGCATTTGTGGAATTGCTGAAAAATGGATTTCATGAGTGTTGTGTTTCAGTGGAACTATTTTCACAACATCTTTGAAGCTTCTATCTTTCCACACCCTTCAGAAAAATATGATTAACTGAGCAAGGTCAACGGCCCCTGCAGACTGTTTGCACCATTTCCCAGACATCCTGGTTGTGTTTAGGGCTCACTATTGCCATTGGCCAATAAATCAGTCAATTGTCCTTGAATACAACCTGATTTTAGTACAACTAGACAAACTTCCACTGAGCATACAGAGGATAATATAGCAGAATATACTCGGTTTCAAAACTACAACTAGGCTCTTCTGCAATTGGGAAAGGCAAGCTGGCCTAACTCATAGCAGCTCTCAGGCTTCCTGCTTAGCCAAAGCTGAGGAAAGCTGAAAGGTGAATTTTCAGGCAATAGCTTAGACCTCCACCAAGCTGAGCTTCTACTCTCTTGTGGACAATATTTGTAGCTGCTTCTAACATATTCCAGCCAAATGACTTCTTTGGTTCTTTGAGATCAATGCATAAAAGACTGTTTTGCTGTGTGATTGCAAAGTAACTAAGCCATTTCTATATAGCAGTAGTTATCAGAATAACTTTTAAAATATTGAATTGTTGTTGATTTTCGAATTTGTGAATAGAGGATTTTTAAGTTCTTGGGTAAACTCTGCTACCATTGAAAACAGCTATGGTTTCAATAGGTGCAGAAGCTGACTAGGACTGAGCATGCTTTAAAATCTAGCCCTAGATGCTAAACCTATAAAGGTCATTTCTTCCACTGCTTTTATTACATGAAATGTATTCACTGTTGTGCCACTGGATTCAGCAAAGCTTTTCTAGTATACTCCAGCATGAGTTTAGCAGCACATTAAAGACATGGAACACTGCTGTCATTTTGCCACATATAGAATCATCTAATCACGCTGAAATCATGAGAAGGTCAAGGTTCATGATGTGATTACAAATGCATTCAGGCTACACCTGCGTCCTGTAAAGAAACAACTCCATGACACCAAGTGAACAGTGTGCCCAGTTCTGATCCCTGAAGTGGAACAGTTGATTCCAGTCACTCTGCTGTTGATACACACCCTCTGAGAATCTCCAAAATTTCCTCCTTTAATTTACCTTCCGTGACATTTTAGTCCAAGTCATAGCTGACAGTTTCTGAAGATGATGAACTGCAGTCTTTTGCAGGAGTGACTACCAGGGCCTTGCTTTCACCAACAGGCCTTACTTGCCCTGACCTGCCTTGCCTGGGACCCCCACCCACACACCCTCTACCCATTCGCCCAGGAGCTCAATTTAAGCTCATGCCCAAGCCCCCGGTCTTTGCCTGAGCAACGTTGTAGGTCTACCTGTGTTCAGCCCTGTCCTCTGCTGCCCTTGACTTATTGAGTGGACTTCCCAGCCTGACCTTGATCTGCCTCACTGCCTTGTACTGTCTGATGATTGCCAGACCGTCATCAGAACCTGCTAATATCACCAAGCTGCGGTGGCGATAGGATTATCTGAATAAACACTAGGTCTCTGGTGATGTAGTAAGTAAAATCTCAGAACGTATCTGTGTTGGCCACCAATGTTTCACCTAGCGTGCATAGTGCTCCGTGCTCACATATACAAACCACTTTCCAAGGCAGAGCTGGCTTGTTGGAAGAGCCGCTATTTCTACACTGATTTTCTGTCTGCAGTGTTTGCATTCTGTCAAAGATGCCTGAGACTTGTTTGGGGTTTTTATGTTCCAAAACAAACCACAGTTCCATGTATCAAGTGGTAAAATAAAAATATTGATTCTCCTGTGTAACAATTCCCTGCAAACTCCAGCACATCAACTTTCAAGCTAAAAATGCTGCTTAACATAAAGACACTTACGTGATAAAACTCCAGAGGCAACCAATCATCTTTTAGACAAAATGTATTAAGTCTTCAACTCCTTGTCGATTACCACGGCTTGAAGACATGCACACGAAGGCGGTAAGGAAGTTAAGTCCCTGACAATGTTTAGTCTACTTTGTGGTGCTAGAATTTGCCACATTCTCATGCTGAATGATATATTACGCCATGACTAGTTAATCTCACTGGCTTAAGCATAACTAGTTGCAAATGTAACACTACTCAATTAAACAATGGCAAAAATCTGACTCTAACTGAACAAACCACATTTTTACACCAGAAACAAGCAACGAAATTACATTGGCCAGCACTTGAAATAGGAAAATTACAGTAAAGTACGTGGTTTAGGGAAAATAATACTCAAAAGTGGCAATTATTTTAATTATACCTATTGAAGATGTGCTCCTCTTGGAGAAATAATATTTTTCTACTTTTCTCATCTTGAAATGTAGATAGCATTTAATTACATTGATAATGGATAAAGAAACATCATTGCATCAACAGTATATGTATACACAAGTTTAACTTAATTTTAAGTTGTAGAAATGCATGAAGTGCATTTGGTAAGATTTGGCCCCAAGGCTCCACTAGTAAATGGTCATTTAAATGCACTGAAATGATTTCCATGTGTTCTACACACATGCGAATGCACTGTCTTTGACATTTTTAGCTATCAGAGCTGACTCAATTGTCTTCTTATAACTGCAGCAATTCTGCTCCTGGATTCGTTCAGTGAAGATGCCCTTCCTCTTGGAGGATGTGGTGAGGTTAGAACTGGCAAACTCACATTACCATTGCTGTTACGCTTATTGGAGGTGGGTGCATTAGGAGCTCTTGAAATGCTAAACTGTCCTGAGAGATTGATTTCCTTCCCAGAGTTGGGGCTTGTGCGGCTTTTCTGTCCGTAATTATTGACCAGAGCAGCACAGGAGGTTAGGTTGCCCTGGGTAAGAGAACACTGTGATAACGGGAAGTTTCCACTGAGCTTTCTTAGTTCCAGTACTTGTTCCCTGGCTTGAGTCAAAGCTTCAGTCAGCTCATAGCGTTCCTCACACTCTCTGCGCACTGTTTCCTGGAGAAGAGTGTTCTGCAAACAGAAACAAACACTTGCTTCATGAAATGCTATTAGTTAGAAAGTGTGCCTATTAACTTCCTCAGGTCTAAGGCAGGGGTGACCGGAGGGTACTTGTTCAAAAATGTCAGGAACTAATGCATACAGATCCTTCGATATCTCATATTATTTTGGTTTCTCTGAAAGCTGCTCAAAGGACATATATCAAAATGTACATACCCTTCACCCTCTCAGGAGACAGTGGAAAACATGAGGTAGGTTATCAGAAGTTACTTCGGATCTCCTGTACCATCTTCTAACTAGGGGGAAAACAGGGAATCTCATCCTTGGGAAGGAAAAGCAACATATGGAGGGGAAAAATGACAACGCTGACGTTGATGCCCATCTGCTGTCACCATACAGCATCTCTAACCAAATAGCATTTACAAAATAGGAGCAGAAAAAAGGGAAGAGGGGAATGTGACAAAGAGCAGAAACAACAAAAAAAAAAAAAGGAGGAATATGGTGGAGAAGAGGAGGACTGGCTTTTTTACATTGACTCTCAGTGTGCCAATACTTTATGCCCAGCACAACAATATAGAAGGAGAGGAAGAACAAAGAACAGGTGAATAAAGAAAGAAAATAGGAGCTGGGGATGCGTATCATACCACATGATTAAAGGTCATGTGAATGGAAATATGTCTTAACATATAAGGATGGATGTTTACGAATGATGCTTATGTAGACAAAATAAATCTACAGGGCCTAATGCCTACTGTTGTTTAAAAAAAGTAATTATGCTAACAGGAACAAAGCCCTCAAGTGCAGATTGTTGGTAATAAAAAATACAGTTAAATTTTAAGCTTTCATAAAATAGATTTGCCAAATGTCTGAGGTCACTAGTTTAACTGGTATGCACGTTCTCCAAAACAAAACAAAACTAAGGCAAGAATGTTGACTAATTGATAATACTTGGGAAAAGAAAGTTTTGACTGGCTCAGAAGGGAGAGAATGTACATGGAGCAGAGGGTACTAGTGCATGAGGATGTAGCTATAACACAGATGAGGGATGTGAGGAGAGCAATACTAGGTGTTCTAAGAGGAGGCCGTAACCATAAGCAATATTTGTATCCTAGGGCTGATTATTTATTTATTACTCAATTTTACCCTATCTGATAAGTCCCAAGAAATCTGTAATGAAACGTAACAAATTGGTGCAGTAAAACATTTCTAATCAATGCTTCAGTTAAGGTAATGTGTAAATTAGATGCAGGCTATAGTACAGGAGAAGAAACTGTGACCGCAAAGAAAAAGCAGTCCTCAAACTTATTCTGAGGTAGCAGACATCCTATTTGCTAAATAATTACAATTTCCTATATGTGAATACAGCAAGTCAGCACTGGGAAACCTTGCATGACTAGAACCGCATCTTGTAAGCGATCAGACTGAAGTGATTTCAGTTAAATGAAGTGATTCTCACTGAGGAGGAGGACCCGGAAAAATATGAGATGATTCTGTCCCATAGACAAGGAAAAATAAACAAAAAATCGTTGCTAAAGAAGTGGTCAGTGACCCGTATTGTTATTGTAGTCATTCTCAGGAGTGAAGTTATGGAACTACCACCAAGAAGGAAACTTCATAAATTAAAACTGGAAACCCTGCAAATCTAGTTTACAAAACTAAATTTAAAGGATAAAATAGGTAACAGCAGATACAAAAGCTGAGAGAGCAAATATGAAAAGCATGTTAACATGGCAAAACCTGGGAAGTCATGTGAAAAATCTCAGTTTTGAGACAAAAACAGATCTCCAGTTTTAATAACCTTTCTGTAAGTGTTTTGGGTCTTGTGTTGTAGAACCTGTTTCTTTCCAGTGGTAAAAATAACTACTCTAGGGGATTTTATGAAAAGCTAAGAGTAATCCAGGAAGTTAAAAGTATTTTCAACCCAGGCAGGGTGAGCCAAGTTTACTCTGCCACCAAGACTGGCTTCACCAGTGTACTGCATGCAAAGTAAATGCACAGAAATGACAGAGCCCAGTGATTGTAAACATGCAGCAGGGCAGAATTCATTACCTCCTAGCAGTGAAGATATATTTAGCGTTCATGAATACATCAAAGGCACTAGCAGTTCGTGCCTTTCTACTGTTCAAACTTAATTATAGCAACGTGACAAAGTTTGGGTATTACTATGTCACTTTATTATGAATAAGATATCCAAGAAGTTATCTTTTTCCGTATGGTAAGCAATTGTGAACTGATTTTTGTGAATGAATTCTTTATTGATTATTATTTCCCAAATAATTATTTGGATCATTGATTTTCAGTCCAGCGGTTCTCATAAACTTTTCACTGTGATTATTGATACCCAAATAATATGTGACTAGTATTGGTTCCTGAGTAGACAACCGGAACTGTTTCACTGTAACAGAAGTCCCCTGGTACACTACAGAGAACTTGTTCCTGATGCTAATTTTCTTGGTTTCCGGCTGAAATAAAAAGTAAATAGATAAAAAGCAAAGCACAACATCATTAACTTGATTCATAAAATAAGAACTACTCAAAAGCACTAACATGAGCAGAAAACATCCACATACTTTCCTAATTCTGCTGTTCTAAGCAAGTGATTGTAGTTGACACCAGGAGATATACGAACATGGAAGGAAAGTATTTAGAAAGCCAGTCTCTTTCTGACACAGAGAACGATGAGCAAGTAAAATAGAAAACATTCTCAGTCATGCACAACCCATTGCCTGGACACAAACGTTGGTATGTAAACCTCTGCAGTGTTATAAAAGTGTGAGCTGTAGGCAGGATCAGATCACATATCACTTTGAAGTGAGGACAAACATTTATATATGAAATTCTCTATATGATTATGACAGGGTACATATACAAGGCAGAAAACGTGACAAGAAAGATGATCTTGATGGCACTTTTTTGAAGTTCTCAAGAAAGAGCATCATTAATGCTGTCATTAAAGTCAGAGCACAGAAGCGTGTTGCCACCAAATGGAAGGTGGTAAGTTCTGTTTAGCCAAAAAGAAGTTATTAAAATTATTAAATTTTTGCATGTGTGTTCCTTTCAAAACTTGAAAAATTATGGAGAAAAAGTCCGTTGTTGGCCAATTACACTAAGTCAGATTTGAGAACTTTATTTCGGTTAAAGCACCTTAGTAGTAAAGACTGGGTAGATAAGAAAAAATAAACTCAAGGGAAGAAGTAAAGCATTAGCAGCCATCAAGAGCGGAAACACAGAATTTTTGTTTGGGCTATCTAACCTCTGCACTAACTCCATGTGAAGAAGTTGTTGGAAAAGGGACATAATTATATGCAGAAGTAGAAGTGGGACAGATGGAAATATCCAGAATGATTTATTCTCTGAATACCTAACTCTACTGAGAACTTAATAAAAGAAAGTTAGAGATTAGCTTCTCTGCCAGGCAGAAGGTCAATGACAGTCCATGAACCAGTTTGGAAACTATTACCTGAAAGTCTGAGGAAGTATCATGATGTAAAGTTTATCATAAAACTAGCTTCAATTTTCAACCACTTTTGTCTGACCATTTTCTAATATAATCATGTATAACCAGGAGCTACGTTTTAGAGTGGGGAAAAAAAGAACATATGAAGAGCTACGGGAATCTCATGATTAAGGATAACACTGTGTTCCTTATCCTACTAATGTTCCTAACCAATATTTGAAGAAAGCCTGTCTTTCTAGCACTCTTTTCCATAATTACATGACAGAATGCCTGCCAACATCTTTCTAATTTCACTAGCACAATAATTCTCAATCTTTTCACAGCAAAAATAAGCATCAATTCAAGACCTAATTCATTTTAAAGAATTTCATTTTCATTGTTTACCAATTTTTTCTGCTACTAATTACTTTGGAAATTCCAGTCTAATCTTATCTATGGTCACTGATTTAACTGTTTTGACATTTCTCATATAGTAGTACGACTCTTCCTCCTCCCTCCCATTATACTCCAAACATTCAGCAGATGTCTGTGGTAAGACTATCCATCAGCCAAATTTCTCTTCACATGTGATTCTTTTTTTTATGCATTCCTACTTTACAAAATGTGGATTTACTCGTGGAAGGCAGGACAAACCCATAATAGCACAATATACATATGTACTCCCACAGTAAAAGATGCAATCTTTCCTCCCTATCCCTTTGAGACCAGGACTGTGTCCATTCTTGTTTATATTGACAGTCTGCAGTTTTTTCTTACAAATCACCTCCAAAATAAGTAAGATAACTGGGAGGATTGTTGCTGTCATGTTCTAAGAATGAGAAATGACCACCATTTCTACTTTGAAAACATGAAGAACCCTTTATGTTTACACTCATGTTCACGTAGCCCGATCTGATGTGAGGCTAGAGACTAAAAAAGAAATGTCTTGCAGGACCTGAAAAAGATTGTTATTTTTATTTTTTTTAATAAAACACTAGCTGAAGGACTTGCCTAATTAAAAATTTTACAAATTTTGTGATAATTTATATTTATGAAAACGTCATGGATTTGCTTTACAAACCATTTCATTTTAAGGAACTTTTAAACTGCATGTACCAGGCTCCAAAAAATATATGTTTTGAAAGAGTTCTAGAAATCACATGTCTTTAAGTAAAAATAGCAAGCCATTTCTTTGGTCAAGTTCCTACCTCCTCCTGAACTTGACTCAAACTGTGAATCAGCTCTGTTCGCTCCTGTGTTAATTTTTCCAGTTCATCTGACTTCTGTTTGATTTCTTTCCTCATATTATCCAAAAATGATTCATTATTGTTCTTTTCCATCTTCAGCTGAAATTCAAGCTCAGTAATTAGTCCTTTAAGGCTCTGAATATCTTTTTCCTTATCTTCATCTTTTTCTGCAAGTTTGATCTGGGCATCTTGTAGCTTCTTTTCAAGAATTTCCACTTCCATCCTCAAGCTATTGATGGCACTGGATATTAACTCAGGTATCTGCATGACAAATAATGCATTAGCCTACGTTCAGTTGGTTTCTTTAGATATGTAGAATTAAGTATCAGACAAATGTTAACCTCAGAAGAAAAATGCAAATGCCCACATACAGGTCCTCACAGATATTAAAAAAAAAGCTTTGAATTTACATAATATCTTCAAAGGATATCAGAGATCTCTACATGTATCAAAACTCAGGAAAAGAGAGATTAAATAGTGTGTCCAAGATGAAACAAAGAAAGAGTGACACAAATTGGAAAACTTAATTTCTTTAAAGCAAGGCCGTATTTCTGCAGGGGTAAAGTGACTTGTAAAGTGAACTATGTTAAACTGTTATTTTCAGCTCTTTAAAACATGGTGTAATGTGATGAATTTTAAATAATAATATAATTTCACTGAATGTCTTTGATTTTCCAGATTTCTCAAGGAACATGCTAAACCTTTTGAAAACTAAGGTTACAGGCACAAATTTCAATATCTATATAAAACTTGGAAAACCCTAGATCTGGATAATTGGGAATGGGAAACTGTGCATGACGTAACCACCAATACAGACAAGAGAAGTAGGTAACTGACTGCTGGATCTTAGCCCATAAGTATTGGATTGATGTGAGAAGGGAGAAAACAGTGCTGATGGATCTCTAACAACATGTCATAGTCCGGAACAGTCCAAAGTCTTTTAAAATATGACTCTGTCACTATAAACATAATTAGCAGCTACACTGTATGGGTATAAATGAACCCTGGGTAGGAAAAACTTGAGCAAAGAACTTCCACAACGTTTAACTGGAATAATTACTTCTTAGCCTGTTCGAATTGAAAAAAGTGAAGCATATGCCATACACCAAGATTGGGAGAAATGTCTTTATCTAAATGCAGAACAACACAAAAAAAGGTTTTTATGCCTTAATATATTATTTCTCAAAGGTTTACATTATCTACTGTCACAAAAATTTCCTCTTGGGTGTTACACACCTTCTTCTGCAGCTCTTCTTGATTTCTCTGATATTTTGTGATTAATTCTTGGTGTTTTTGTCTTTCAATGTCAAGTTCCATTCTCGCTTCTTCCTTGACTTTAAGAATAGCTTCTTTGTGTTGTGCTTCACCTTTAGCCAGGTCAATTTCCATCTAGGAAACAAGTGTTTTTTAATGATAAGTTTCAACTGATCTTAAAATACTTTTCAGATTCCACCCTACCATAATTAAGTGATGTGAAATTTGGCAGACTCGGATTTTGCATGCAAACCAAGCGTAGCTGAATGATTGCAACTATTAGACTCCAGCAATTAAAAGCTCTCACTTCCCATTGACTCACAGTACTACGGAAGTTTCTTGCTCTCCACAGAATAGCCTGAGTCATATCTGGCAGCCCCATGAAGATGTCTCACAAACCCGATAGCATCTCAAGTGGTGCTAGATGCCTAAGCTCAGGCAGCTGAACCTCACTGTAAATCACTGTGAAAACACTAAATTCTGAAATCTTTAGCTGGCTCTTAAGATAGATGCCTTTTTTCTGGAAGCTCTTGCTCTGTAAATAAAACTCTGCTCATTATTATTTTCAAAGGCAGTAAATACATTTCACCGTAAATGACAGAATACTGTACTAACAACAGGCCATAAGCTGAATATTAAAAGTATAAAGATACTAATTCCAGCTTTCTTATAAAATCATTTTTTGTTCATGCTATGCCATCCAGTTTTGTCAACGAATAACAAAGTACCGTATGAATTGTTACTACTTGTTCATTCCCAAGGATCATACACAGAGAGCACACGTACTTCATCTGTGCTATCTTAGAAGTCTGGAATGCAGTACACATTCTGCATTTCTAGTTCCTCACATATGTTTCCACTAAATCTAGTCTGTTATAAGTATCAAAAATATAGCAGAAGGAGGATATGCAGGAATTCCAAGTAAATTGCACAGAATATCTCAGTTACTATTGCACAACGCTTTTCTCTCCAGGCGCTGCCAGTATAGGTAACATACAGTGTCGCTGACCCCAGCTTCAAGTCACAGTTAAATGCAACAGTGAGCTTCCAAAGCTAAAGGAGATGAAGGAGGCAGTTCATAACTGCCTCGTCTTGCTTTACAGTCCGGACAACACTGCACTGATGGTATGTATATGGGACAAACTCAGGTCCAAAAATTGGAGAAATTTAAGTGAAAGAATTGCAAATCCTGGATAAAATATTCCAGTCCTTAAGGCATCACAATATGCATTTAATATTATAAATTCAAATCTGAAAATTCAGCTAAGAGGTCCTTAAAATAAAAGCCTAGATTTTGAAGGAAATACTGAAGGTTGTATTTTGAAGAATATTTTTGCTAAACCAGCATGCTAATATTGTATTGCTGTAGGTTGAATTCTAATAGATTTACTTGTAATGTGCTAAAAGATTATAAACACTATGGTAAATGTGCACAACACTCTGCTAATTACTTAAAATTATTAAAATCAGGAAAGCCTATAATGAGCTTAACTATAATGATCTAATTTCATACACTAATTATAAGTGTAATAAATCCCCCTAACTCTTTTTGGGGGAAAAAAAAAATATTCACAATTCTGTACACAGAATAGGAACAAATTCCCCACTCAGAATTAGCTCAAAACTGACATATTTCTAACACCCTCAAAATAGAACACATTATCATTATTATTATAAATATAGCATTACATATGTATCTTCTACATCACTAGATATAAGAATTGGGATTCTAATTGTAGAAAGTCAAAGGATTTAATAACTGCACATTATTCTAGAAGCAAATTATATGTTGGAGGCTACTTGATTACAAAGACTAATAAAAAATACCAGCAGGATAAAAAACTGAACTCATTTTGAAGATTATAAAAGCATTTTTCACATTTAACACTTGAAGTTAATATAGCTGGTAACCATAACAGGAAATAAAATGGCAGTTGGTCTTCAAAGACCTTGCTCTGCTTGAAAGCATAATGACTACTAGTTGCTTTAAACCCATTTGCATGCCTCTCATTAATTAAATATAAAAAATTAAATACAAAAACAAATGTTTCCATCAATTTTAAAGTTTTTTTTTTTTTTTATAAGAGATTTATGTTTGTTCCATCATAACAATTCCAGGTTTATTTGGTTTTTTAAATATAAAGCTGGAACGCTTTATACTTATGCAATAGCACCCTATCCAAAGAAAAAGATAACTTTGTCACTTTTCTAATGCTTTTGTCTGATGAGAACATTTTTAGAGCGCTTGATGTTCACGTTTTAATGGCTGTGATTCCAAAGATGCAATTGCTCTCCATTACTAGCAGTAGCCTTTATCTTGCTTTAATGTCAGTTGAACAATATATTGTGATTGTGCAGACAGTGTGACCTCATTCCAAAATTACATCCTCTGATAGACAGGTTAAGAAGTTTTAAGAGAAATATAACTGCTCTTAACTGCTAGCAGACCAAAATTTTTTCTAAGACTAAATACTTTCAGACACTTACCACACACAGAAACAAAAAAGATGATAATGACAATTTCAACTGCAAATTTTAAGACTTGAACCAGAAAATTCAGATTTCCTGTTCAATACTATTTCTAATTTTTCCTTTGCAGTTATTTTAATAATTTCTTATATTCATTTTTTAAATTCACTTTGTGTGAAGGTGTTTCAGATTAAAACAGTTTACATGCTTATAGTGGTTCATGATAAATAACTTTCCAAATCCCAGTAAGACAATGGAAGCTGGACTCCAAAGTTCTAATTAGTCTTCCGCTCAGAACCTCAACTATGAACAAAAGTTACAGAAATTTTACATCTGCCCTGTAGAACAGCGCAAAAGATACTGACTCCAGAGGTTACTGTTACATAGTGAGGCTACTGAAAGCCCAGTATAAGTGATTAGTTGCAGTAGTTGCAAATTCCAGTGAGCTATGTAAGAGCAGTGCAGTGTATGTATTACGTAGCAACAACAAATACCTACCAAACCTATGCAATTGCAGCTGGTAGACATACACGTATATTTTTTTAAATCAGCTGAAAATACTTTTCCATATAAGACCCTAAATCCAAGTACATACCAAAAGAAGTCTAACAAACTATAATATTTGTAGAATGTAATAATATCAACCCAAAGATGTGGCTAGCAGGAATATAAAATATTTCAGATAAGAAAAGACAGAGTAAGCAGATTTTATGATACCTTTCCTACATATAGCATTAAAAATGTTCCACCTGCTTTGGAAGTCAGCTGAGTGAGCTTCCTTTTGTCTGAGTTATTTTCATTAGGTTGGATCCTACATATATAGACCAGGACTGGACTTTCTCTCTCCTTGCTCTTTATCCAGAGTTTTTCCTGAATTCTGGGTGCCCTCCTGGCTGTATTTTAATCACCCGTCTCATTTGTAACCTTTACTTCCTTTCTTTTTTTCCCTCACTCCATTAAATAGACAAAAAAAAGGTATGTATAATGAGCATGCACATATGGAAGTTTTATGGTTCTCCCTTAGGCCTTCCCCTTCTTCCTCACCCTGAAAGGACACTGTCTCATTACCAAAAGAAAGTTGGGAAGGTATATGAAAGTGGCTTTGTAGGCTTTCATAAGATTCAATGAATAAAATAACAAAGAATGGGACATATCATGGAGAAGCTAAGTTGTAGGAGTGTGAAGTCTTCTCAGATAGAATACAGAGATCATTTTCACTGTAAATTTCACAAAGTCTTTGTTTTCATACATGCTCTAATTTGAAGGGAAAGCAAGTAAAACAGCAAGAGTCATTAGCAGGAGCCTATCTGGCAGAGATGCAACTGCCTGAAAAACTGGTCACAACACAGTCACCAGAAAAAGCTGAAGCCGTTCTGCACAGCAGCCTGGTTTAGTTCTATAATTTTCACTTCGCAATTTCTTTAGCTCTTACCTTTTTTATGAGAGGATCCCCAGCTCACACAAATGGATGTTGCTGCTACTGTAGCTCCCTTCCAACTTTCCCAGTCTAAGTCACTCACCGTGCTCCCTACGTCCCCCTTCCTTAGTCCCCAGGGGTAGCTTCCCAGTCAAAACTATTCACCTTCTGTTGAAGGTGGGTACACACGCTCTAACTAGCTGCATGCTCCCCCCAGTTAGTTGTTTGCTCAGTGTGTAGGCACAACATCTCTAAGCCTCCGGGTAAGCCGGAAAGAACAAGTTGCCTCTTAATCATTTACCAAAGAGGCTTCTTGGAGGGTCATACATAGTCCCGAAGCCACAGGTTGCATAAGCTTCCCTAAGCCCTCCAACTCAAAGCCAATTGTTCCTCCAGGGAGTATTTATTATTAGCTAGAAGATATTGCTAATTTGGAGGTGTCATTTTACTCTCCATTTATGTGCTTAATTTGCACTGACATTAGTGGGAAATATCGGCTCATACTAAGATGATAATAAATTTTCACAGAGAACATAGAAAGAATAAAACTGTCATGTTAATTTCTTCACTTGCTTTTTGCCATACGTATTAGAACCACAGAATCATAGTAAGTATAACATTAATATGTATCTGCATCATCATTGCCATAAGTACTAGGCATGACATTAACATGCATTTGGCCTCTATCTTCAGCTCTATGTTTAAGAATTCAGCTGCATTTTCTCATTCAACAACTCGTGAGAGCTCCAGAAGTAGTATCCTACCGCAACAGCTTGCTTGCGTCGCTCTACTTTGGCTTGCAAATACGTGTCCTTTAAGGAGAGGATATTTTTGCTCATCTGCTTGTTATTTATTTTATAGATTTATTTTACAAATAGCAGCCTACCGCTTGGATTCACCTACCCTGTAAGCAGAAGGGTCTGTGGTCTCTCCATTTTGAGAGCAACGCGCAACCTTGTTTTCCCTGCGAAAGCACTTCAAAATTAAATTTATGCTTTCCTGTGCTTCTTTCCTAGATTTTTGGGGACAGTGAATATAGATCCTGGTGTGTACACACACTTCAGTATCCTGGTTCAGGGTTCATAACCCAAACTGTCACACAAAAAGGGAGGGGGTAGGTTTCAAAAATACATTCACTTCCCTGGAGCTTTTGCAGGACAACAAACTGGAACCATTGGACATTTCCCATTGGATTCTGCCTTTCAGTATACAATAGGAATGCAAGTTGCTTGCAGTATCAGAGGTTCAGTGGGCTAATGTTCTGCTCCTCAAACCTGGGCTTTCAGGGGGTTGCACTCTTAACACAGACACTTCACAAATACCCTGACACCTGGAACGTCTGGATCATATCTGAATATCAATCAAGTCTGTAAATGGTCATACTAAATACTTTTCACATTCAGTTCTGACCTACGTAGAGAGATCACCCATTAAAACTTCTCATATAAAGAAGTTATTTGTTATGTTACTTGTTAGATCTATTGTCATATTTGCACTTGAGGAGATGGATATCTGGCTTACCACACAGATTCATGACAGCTGACTAGAACTAAAGAAAACAAATGCAAACTATGCTAAGCACACATCCAGTATTACCTTTTCCCTCCAGTTATCTTCATTTTGCATCTTCTGTCTTAATGTTTCCTGCAGGTGATCTGTTCTGTTCTGATGAGAAATCAGCATTAACTCCCTAGAAACCACAAAAACTCATATGTAATTATGTGCTCTGCCTAAATTGATGGTATGCCATCTTCTTGCAATTAAGGCCTTTGTGGCAAGGGCTCATCTTTTCCTCTTTGTTTAGTATTCAGATGCAATCTTGTTTGGAACCCTGAGGCACAACAATAATTACTATTCAGCATTTGCATAACACTGTCACATGCTTTATGAATTTTATTTTTTTAAGAAGAAAATATGGTTGATCTTTCTTCCAAACCTACCTACGTAAACCTCAAATATCTTTATATTCCTCAAGCCAAATTTTGAAGGATACTAAATAACTGCTAAAATATTCAAAGCAGAAATTATTACATTTAATGAACTCAAAATATTATTATGATTAATAAAAAATGGTACCAGGTTTTGAATTAAGATCACTGAATGGTTGCCGTTGTTATAGCTGCTGTTCGTTTTGTGAGGCTTGTAGAACAAGAGCCCTGGAGAGTTTAAATTCTTGTACCTTAATTACAATTTACATTACATTATATTACAGCTTACCAACTGCAACAACTCATGTACCTGAGCTTTAAGTAGATGGGAAATAGTCTTAAATTAACATGCAATATGTTTTTATTCAGGTACTCAGGTACAGTGGATATTCAAACCCTTTAAATCTGCAAACAGGTTAACGCCTCTTGGTGCGCATCGCTATCTCAGAAAACACTTTTTTTCTTCTTCAAAAGCCACTTTTCTGAATACATTTTCCCATTCCATGCCAATCAAACAAATGTCATGTCTTTGGCCTTAAGTAGGGGACAGCACTTTATCTTGCCAATACAAGACAGGCTGATTTATCAGTAACTGAAAATTTATTAGCAGGACACTTCTGAATAGTAACATCAAGCCTGTGATACTTACGATTTATAAGTCTGGATGGGCAGGATTACTCAAAGCAAACAAAAAATTGGATTTAGGTTCTCAAGTGAAGAATTCTTAAACAAATGCCCACAAATTTGATGCCATCTCAGAAAACATGAACCTCAGAAGCTCAGTTCTTTATTTTCCACATTTGAAAAGTAATCACAGGGAAAAGAGAAGCTTCATTGATACTTGAGAACCTTCAGAATAAGACTAGATTGGTGGGAAATTGTCCACACACTTTAGCGAATACTAGATCATAGCCTATAAATTAGCATATTGTTATATTCACAGCAACGTTGCAGTTGGTAAGTTCCTAATAATGTAAGTTAAAAGAATTTGAACTTTCCAAGGCTCTTGCTCTGAAAGCCTCACATAACAAACAATAACTATTACAATAAATGAGTGTTTTGATTTGGCTTGAATTGAAGCCCTAGATTTTAAAACAGGGCTTTTTTCCTCCTTCTTTTTTTCTTTTAGACATTTTGGTTTTCATTGAAGTTTTGTCTATACTGAAATAATTTTAAAAAGCCATCAAATGAATTCCAAAATTTCAGAATATGATTGCAGGGCTGTCAAGGCTTTTACAGTTCTGCCAATGGGAGTAAAACAAGGCCTTCCAAGTGGCAATGACAGGACAGAACTGCTCTGGATACGAAGGCAAAACTGACTTCAGAATTCAGGATACAGCTAGAAACAGTAGGTCTTTCCCCGCTCTGCTCAGTTCCCATAGCCAGACTCCTCATACCCTTCTCCAGAGCCTCTCCTCCTAGGTCCTGAGGGCCACCACCAGAGGGGCTTTTCAGTCTTGCAAATCTTGAACTCAGAGACTGACACAAACCCAAGCAGAATAACACGATAATTCTTACGTTCAGGACAACCATGGTGGGCATGCGCACATGCCAAGGCTTAAATACAGTATATACTCTTAATAAACTCAGTGATGATTTCTGCTTATGTGAAACAAGAATTAAAAGAACCTTGGGCCTTGGGAGGAGATAGAAATTCTCACACTTGATCCAAAATTTAAGGGTGCAATTTCCCTTTTGAGCAGTTACTGAATAATTGCCCCCCCAACAGAAATACTTGTACTTTTCTTTGAAGTACCTGGGAATGGTCAACAGACTATGCTACCCAGTACAACAATTCATGTATTCCTATGATCTCCCATGCACTGTGATAGGTTGATATAGGCATTCTTATCATAAAGACATTTTTAGAAAGCAAATTACGTAAGTAATGAACATGTGACACTCTCGTTTCAATAAAACGTTAGCTGATGTTTTAGTGAACATTACATCTAACTTTGCATGCACCTTAATATTCTATTATTTTACATGCTTATAAACGTTGAGATCTGTCCTTGATATTAGAATTATGCTGGAATAAATTGGAATGGCAATGGAATGAAACAGTAGAGTAGAATGATAGAATTCTCATGGAATAAAATTATTATTGCAATACAGTCAATTTCACAGGAATTTGCGATGTCTGTGTAAAAAAGTTGGTAGATTTCATTTACACCTGGACTATGCTATGTACTTCCAAATATTATTTACTGTAGACTTTCTCTTTGAGCTAAATTCATATTTTTCTTAATTTGTCTCATTTTCGCTAGGGTAAATTGCTAGCTTTTATTACAAAGGCTAATGGAACATCACTGATAAGGAAGATGAAACTGTTCATCACTTCCGTAATGTTTTGTTTTTTCACTAGTCTCAAGGTTAAAGCTGGCTTTTTATTGCATTGCAATAGCTTGGAATACAGCAATATCACTGAAAACTATGAATGCTCCTTTTGCTAAAGGATTTATTGTTCTGTGACAGCTATTCTAACATGCTTAGCACAAAGTATGCCTGGTGTTTTACAGATGCTCGCGATAAAAGCAAGAAATGTTGAGCATCTGGCAGAGGAGGAATATTCTATTTTTAATAAATTTCCAAAAAGAAAATTTAGGCTGAAGGTAAAGTCAAATTACTTTATCTATGGTGACTCAGCTTTGATTACCTTTCTTGTTTCAACATCACCACCTCTTCCTCTGTTTGTCTAAGAAGAGATTTAAGTGTTTGTAGTTCACTTTCTGATCGACCGGTTCTTCTTTTTAGATCTTCTTCCTTCCTCTCTTTCTCAGCCACTTCTTCCTGTAAATGTCTGCACACTTGCTGGCAGACTAGTAGTGATTCCTCCTTTTCCTTTAGCTCTTTTGTAAGTCTACAGAAGAAATAAAAACATATCAGTATCACAATTATTATATTCTCATTTAGAGACAGAAACTAAATAGACTGAAATAATTTGTAAATGGAAAAGAGAACGTTATATAAAAAAAGTATGTATTTTTTATGAAGGTAAATCTAATGACTGCAATATAAAAATAGAAACTGAAAATAGTAAAAAGTGACAGTATAAAAGCTATACTAAAATCATAAAATTCTTTGCTCTCATCACTCAGAAACGCATCTGTATGTTATGTTATGCCATATACTTTCAAAAATTTACCTTGATTCAGAAATTCCATTTTCATACTTCATTTTTTTCAGTTCGTTTTGACAGACATCAACTTCTGTTGATTTCAGCCTAAGAAAATGTTAGAAAATACATATTTCTCCAAAGAAATGATAGCCTTTACTTATGCAATAACTTGAACATCATGTATTAATTTATTATCTAACTTGTATTTTCTATTTTAGTTAAAAACAAAATCCTGAACGACCTGCTCTAAATTGTCCCTGCACTGAGTGGGGGGCTGGGGGTGGATCACTTCCAAACTATATCATCTTATGATTCTATCAACCTAAAGAATATTTCATAGGTTATCTTTCCCCCTGCAAGCTTTCAGATAAATAAATCTGAAGAGCTAAAATCACAAAAGATAAGCATATTTCAATTCCTGCCCTAATGCACCATAGTATTTAATGCATGTAATTTTAAGTACACATTTTTATGAAATCACTATACCGGATCACCCACAGAACAACAAGGGATGTTTATGTATTTGAGAGATATTCTATTCTTAATTGGTGGTCAGTCCTTAGGAGTTGCTGTTAGTGAAAACGTGAGTGAAATTCAAGCTTAAATAAGCAAGCAAAAGGATTAAATTTGTACTGTTTGAAAAGTAAACTGTGAAACTCATTCCTATGGGATGTTGTGGAAGCCAGAAGTAAAAACGAATTTAAAAAGAGATTAGATGAATTCATTGAAAATAGGTTATCTACCATTATTAAACTTCTGTAACAGGATGTAACCTCTGACTTCAGAAGTCTCTAAACAGATTTTCAGAAGATATACTAGGGGAAGGATCATTTCATACTTGCTCTGTTCTTACTTTTTTTCCTAAACGTCTGCTAAAAGCCACTGCTGGAAATAGGATACAGTGGAAGATGAACTTTTGGTCTAATTCATTGTGATGGTTTGGGTGTTTGTAAACTTTAATAGTCTTCCATTAAAATTTCTAATTATAGACCTATAAGAAATGAATTAGACATCTTGTTTCTAGTGATCATTAGTAATAACAGCACATAGCATTTGTGAGAGGATAGTCCACAGAGGCTCTAATTAAGATCGGAGTCATATTGTGCAAGCCAGATAAGACTGTCCAAATCCCAATCTAAAATGGCACATCAGATAAAGGACTGGCACAAAGAAATGTAGCGAGGTACCAGAGCAAAGGGTGGTGTTGTCTGCCAGTGCTGCGTTACAGCTCCGTGGGTTGGCACAGTTCGTCACTTTTGGAAGGAAGGAAGGAATTTGGTGAATGGAAACTCATTAAATGAAAGGTTTAAAAGAAAGGTGCAGAAGACACTGAGTGAGAACACAGAGGTGGCAGAGGAAAGAGAATAGGGGGCTATGGAACAAGGTTGTCGAGGCCAAACTGAAGAGGCTGCAAAGAAAGCAGTACAGGTCTGCTGGGATGAACAGCCTACATCAAAGAGGAAATTATTTCCGAGTGAAATCTGAAGCAGCTTACTTTTGATAACAACTGGGTTTCAAGCCCCATCCACATAGTTCCTTAGGGCTTATATCTAAGATGTCATAAGAGTGTCTGTCTAAATGTAAAAAGTTTGGATGTTAAACATTTCGCTTGAGAAAGCAGAGTTTAAGAAATACATCAATATTTCAAGGAACAGGTTTTTCAAAACGTCCGATTAATCCTGATGCATATTTTATTAACAATTTCAGATGGAAAATTAGACTGCTCCAAAAAGTTATCTATCTTATTTGGAGAATCAGACCACTTACACAAGTGTGAAACAGTAGCATCCTAAAAATTCCTCAAATCCTTGTCTATACCTCCTACAAATTTACAAAAATCTCCGAGCTGCAATCTGAACATGATTCCTATAGCCATCATCTCAGTCAATAACATATAACAAGGCCACTAGTCACTGGAATGGCTGCTGCTAACTTCAGCATCCTTGGCATCTAAGCCTCACTGCTTTCTATTTGTGAATAAGGTAGACAATTAATAAGATTATTCTAAGTACTCTATCAAAACTGAATTTTTTGTGAAGACCAAATAGATTACTGCCCATTACATTTCTTGATGATTATTGGACGTGAACAATCTCCTTTCAACATAACAGCAGTCCATAGCCCTGAAGAAGAATGAGAGGGGTACAGAGATTCTGAGTGAATGATAAATGAATTTAAATTTTTAATTACAAAGAACTCAAAAATAATTCATTCTTCTTTCTACACAAAATTGATTTATGTCAATATGCTCATTTTAAGACAAATATCTCTTTTCCTTAATACAAAAGGAGTTTCATAATTTACATGTTTGAGTCTGCAAGTGAAAAGGACAAAGATAGAAAATTAACATTCTCAGAAAAATCTTTAGAAGGCAAAAGGCAGAAAAAGAGTTCCATTAGTTCCATCTAACATTCTTAAGTAATACAATTTACATTTTCAATGTAATCTCAGACTAATCTAGGATCATAGTTCTTGTTTCTGCAAACAAGAAAGTAGAAACATTCATCAGTGTTGCAAGATTAAAGTAAAACGTGGCTAAAAATGAACAAGTAACAATTTAGTAGGTAAGAGGACTGGAAACTTTGAATGTTTCTTGTTATTACATCATCATTTCACCAATTAATAACCATGGTTAAACCTCATATTTATATTTAAATAGATATAGAATATGTTATTTTATTAAACTGTACCCATATTACATTGAAATTTTAATATCACATTTGGAAACATTTTAGCGTGTATATAACTGTGCTCGTGAAATCTTTTTTTCATACTTAATACTTGCATTATCATTAAAATATTTTGTTGCTAAGCATTCTAAATATTTGCAACTTTGTTATGATCAGATTCTCTGAATAAAAGAATCATTTAAATTTCAGGAAATTCTATAAAAAACTGATGATAGCTGGTGTTAAGATTGGTCTTACTAGTTCATCACTCTTGAGTTTAATATTTCAAACAGTAACATTTATTTTCATTACTGCATTATAAAAGCTGATGCTATTTCTAAATTATTTTCTATTCTACATGCAAGCAATGTGAATTTTAAATACAGAAAAGCACTCAGGTCTTTGATCCAACAGCTTTTAAAGATGATGAAAAAACTCTCATTAAGTACTGTAACTTAGTTTAGAAGAGACCTCTGAAGGTCACCTGGCCCAACCTCCTGCTCAAACTAGATCAGGTTGCTCAGGGCCATGCCCAGCCAAGGTTTGAGCATCTTCAAGGATCAAGACCGCTCAACCACTCTATGCCCCTTTTTCCAGTGTTTGAACACCCACATGATGAAAAAGTTTTCCCTTATATCCAGTCAGAATATCCCATGTTGTGAGTTTTATCCATTTTTCCTTGTCCTACCACTGTGCTTTTCTGAGAAGAATCCACCAATAAAGCAAGCAATTCCGAAGAGAAAGTAAAGCAGAGTAACTGATCTGGGTCCACACAGTTATAGGTCTGGATTTGGGGTGTCTAATACAGCTCCTACTGAAGTCATTGGAAAGCAGCCTTGAGGTGAGAGAGAAGCTTTTAAAAACATCACGACTCCAGAGCTCCCTTTTCTCGGCCATTAGCAGGGAAGGTGGTTGGTAGGCAACACCTCAAGTGGCAAGTTTAAGTGAAGCTCAGGTAAGTAAATAGCCTTCTCTATATATGCCAGAGAAGATATAAAATCCTGACTCTCCATCTGAGTGTTTTTCATGGTCACGTTACCAGCTCCTTCCTCCTTTTCACTTTCTAAAATAGGATTGTGCTCTTTGAAAAAAAAAAATAGATTCGTCACATTGTTTTTTTTTCCCCATTCTTATGTTCCCCATTCAACCTAGAAGAACAGTGTGCCAAAACACAAACAATATTTAAAAAGAGGTGAATCCTCTCCTGAAATTTCCTCAAGTTTTGATAAAGGGCTCATTTCTTCACTCCCTTCACTTTCGGGCTACAGCAGTAGTGTGGCCTTCCTTCCCCTGAAAGTAGGGCTGAACACAGAGCACTGCTGCCAGTGACACCCAGGTACCTGCCCGTGCCAGAACAGGTGCTGCCGTGTGACTGCTGCATATAGCAGTAGTGTCAGATGTGCTCGCTGCTCTTGCTCAGGCTTAGTTATTAGCAGCTCTGTGATGAGCACTCTCTCTTCAGTCAGTGTGCTTCATTAGCTCTGACAAGTATTTGATGATATTTTCTTTTTTCTCTGTTATTTTAGGTTTTGTATACTCTTATCTGAAACCACAGGCTGAAACACAGTAAAATCACAAATCATAACAACATACTAGTGTGTGTGAAATATTCACAGCAAATTTACATTTGGTAAAAAATTTTTAAAAATCATAGTC